TACCCCAGTACCATCAGAACCTGCTGATGCACACCAACTTGGAGACCTTGCTGATCACCATGCACAGTCTGCTCTTTTCTGGCGTGGAACCCTAGGGTATCAGGCTGCTCCATGCCTTCCTTCCTCTGCTGAAGCACCAGACTGCAGAAGCCCCGCCCACAAAGGCAGAGCCGGTCCCAAGCCTCCCACTGAGAGCTTTCCCAGCCCCACCCCATCACACACTTAAGATTTTCAAAGGCTCCTGTTTTCCCTTCTTCCAATTTTAGTATATGTGCTGCCGAAGCGAGCACTCCTGTTTTCCCATCTAACACACCCGCTTATCACTCCCCATACTCCCCAGGACTTCCTTGAATCCTGCCCACACCCCAGTGGGGTACCTGACTGGAACCTCCCTGCCCAGAAGCCCCGCCCACATACCCAGTTCTCATCGCCCCAAACTCACCCGTATCTCCAGGACTTCATGACCTGTCCACCCACTTTCCCTAAAAACAACCCGGTCTCTCAGCGCTGTGACCCAATGCAACCACTTACCACCATACCATTTGTGACTCCATTAACCCAGTTAGCACCCAGTTAGCATCCCTTCCCTCCCAGTCTGTGGCAAACCCCAAGAAGTTCCTGTGGGCCTGCCTTCTGCTTCTAAAAACAAGAACAGATTCCCCTGGCCGCCCCACATATCCCCACAGAGAGGCCCAACCTCAATGACAGTGCCTGCCCCCTCTAAGGCCCCCACTTGCAGTCTGTGTGCAGCAGGAGAACCACCGCATGGCGGGGCATGCAGGGCTATGGGTCCTGGAGGATCACCAGGCCTTGCCTTACACGGACCCCCAAGATCCATGAGGTGCGGGGTTTGCAGATGTCATTCCCCTAAACGTTCAATCCGTGTCTCTAGGGCATACCCCTGATTTCCTCTTCCCCTGTAACAGAGCACAGATATCATAACCCTCCTCAACACTGTTGCCACAACCCCAGCCAATTCTTGATGCCCCAGGAGTTCAACTGCGAGCACTTCCTGGATGCCAGCCAGTCCTTCAGGAAGATCCCCGCCTTCATGCCCTTCTCAGCTGGAGAGAGTGATCAGGGTGGGAATCCCAGCTTTGGAATGTCCAGATTCCCGTTCTCCTATCTCCACCCCAACCCTGATCCCACTCCCCCTCTCACTGCCTCCTTTCCAGCTATGGAAATACGGGAACCTTCGAACAGTGTCGGCTTCCTGGGCTCAGAGACACCCCCAGCTCTGACTGTCCAGTTCTGCAGTTGTAGGCAGAGAGTGACGAAACCCTTTGAGGTAGAGCTTACACGAACATCGTCATCTGGTACAATAGAAGTGGTTCTAGTTTTTCGTATTTAGTCTACCATTAGAAGGGGGAAAAATATTAATGTTTACATAGTAGCAGAAAAATGGAATAATGATAAGAGGTAACACTTACGGTATTGCCAACGGTGTGCACCCAGCACATGCGAGAAAGACTACAGGGGCGGGTTAAGAAGACACAGAAGCCAGGCCTCTGCTTCTGCATCTCGGCTCGGTCACTGTTAGCTGTGTGGCCTTGAGCGAGTCACAACCTGTCTTCTCAGCTATCATTTCAACTCACACCCTGTTCTTACTCCAGGGAGTCCGATGTGCCCTGGGCGAGTCGCTGGCGCGCTTGGAGCTCTTCCTCTACCTCACCACCATCCTGCAGAGCTTCTCGCTGCAGCCGCTGGGGGCGCCCGAGGACATCGACGGGGCCCCAGTTGGTTCTGGCCGCCAACAGGCCACCTAGGCTCGTCCCAATGCGCCTGCGCAAGCGCTGAGTTTTCCCCCCCCAACCCCCTTCCCACGTGGGCTGATTTCTCTCCTCGTCACACTCTTTTGGCTGCATCATCCTTGCCATCAAACCCTCCTACCCTCCCCACAATCAGTCTTCCACATGCTCTGTCGCCCGCCCACGGTTACCTACCTACCAAGCCGGAGTCAACGAAAGACCTCAAGGAGGAGAAGCCTTATGTTTTAGCCACTTACAGACCCTGAAACTTGCCCGTGTCTCTCCCCTTTCTCTGGAGCTTTTGTTTCGTTTCCTAGGAAAGTTACCTTGGAAATGAACGCGACATAGGCTGCCTGAGTTAAAGGGAGGAGGATGGCTCGTTGCGAAAGAGAGTGAGGTCGCCTCTGCCGCTTCTGGCTGCAAGCAGGGGAGACACTGAGCTGGAACTTCTGCTCTCACCTCAGGGAGCCCACGGTGAAGAATCTGAGTCTCTGGAGGCAGGCTTGGGGGTAAAGACTGTGCAGGACTAAGGAGGAAGGGCAGAGAAAGAAGAATCAAGGTGGGAGGGCAGGAAAAACCAACAACCTACAGGAAATTCTGGACAGAGATAGAACAGGAGACTACCAGAGGGATGGGAAGAGAAAGAGGCACGTGGAAAGGGAGAAACAAGCGAAAAATTGACGCAAGAGAAAGAGAGTAAGAAGTAACGTGTTACCCGTAAGAAATCACCTGTCCCCTAGGATTCTGAATGCTTGACACATACTCACTCATTTATGTCCCAAAATAGACTCATGAAGTAGATGCTGAGATTATTATCCCCCCTTAGAGACTGGGAAAATGAGGCACAGAGGCACTGAATCACTTCCACGGTCACGCAGCCAGGGAGAGACAGGGCTGGGATTTAAAAACCCAACTTGTCTGGCACCAGTGTCCATGATCTTAACCACTGCTTCTCAATAGAAAAGGAAAAGGCAAGGGGGCGCCTGGGTGGCTCAGTCGATCAAGCGGCTGCCTTGGCTCAGGTCCTGATCCCGGTCCTGGGATCGAGTCCCGCACCGAGTCCGCATTGGGCTCCCTGCTCAGCTGGGAGACTGCTTCTCCCTCTCCCTCTGCCCCTGCTCATGTGCTCTCTCTCTCGCTCACTCTCTATCTCAAATAAGTCAAAATCTAAAATAAAGAAAGAAAGAAAGAAAACGAAAAAGCAAGAATATTATTCATTCACATTGGTCAGCACCCTGCCATACTGGATGGTTAATATTTAAAAGATCACCCTTGGGGGTGTCCTTGGGGGACACTAATAGGTGCTGAGCACTGTACTAGTTAATAGAATTATATTTAACTTCTTTTAACTTGTTGCTTTTTTTCTTTTCGAAATCTGGCTTGATTTATTTTGGCTAACAAATTTATTTGGGTAACAAACCAAACCGTTTCTCTCCTCAGAAACGTATGGTCTTTTTGAGACAGAGCAAGGACTGTACTCGGGTCCCCTCAACCCTGACCACAAAAATCCAACATTTTTCTTAAAGATTTTATTTATTTATTTATTTATTTATTTATTTATTTATTTATTTATTTTAAGATTTTATTGATTTATTTGACAGAGAGAGACACAGCGAGAGAGGGAACACAAGCAGGGGGAGTGGGAGAGGGAGAAGCAGGCTTCCCACCAAGCAGGGAGCCCGATGCGGGGCTCAATCCCAGGACTCTGGGATCATGACCTGAGCCGAAGGCAGACGCTTAACGACAGAGCCACCCAGGCGCCCCTAAGATTTTATTTTTTAAGTAATCTCTGCACCCAACATTGGGCTTGAACTCACAACCCTGAGACAAGAGTCGCACGCTCCACCAACTGAGCCAGCTAGGTGCTCCTCTAGCTACCTCAAGAAGGCTTAGTTGACCTGAGCAGATGTTTAACCGACTAAGCCACCCAGGCGCCCCTTTATGCCATATTTCTTAAGATTTTCAGCGGAATCATTTTCATTGGTATGCACACTGTCACATAAATTAAATATATATAAAATAATGGTCATTATGCTCTTACCAAACTCTACTCCATGTATTAAGTTGACCCAAGCAATCACAAAGGCCTGGTTATTCATCACTTTGAGGTGACTTATTATCCTTTCTTATAGGGTGTCAGTAAATCCTTCCACCTTTTAGTTCATACATTTTCTTTTCTTTTTAAAATTTTTTTCTTTTTTTTTTAATGGTGGAAAGAACATTTAACATGATAACTACCCTCTTAACAAATTAAGTGTACAATACAGTATTGTTAACTATAGACACAATGTTGTGCTGAAGATTTCTAGAACTTACTCAGCTTCCACAATGGAAATTATACCCGTTGAATAGCAACCGCCCCTTTTCCCCCTCCCTCTAGCCCATGGCAACCACTGTTCTACTCTCTGCTTCTATGAGTTGACTATTTTAGATTCATCCTACAAGTGGATTCATACATTATTTGTTCTTCTCTCCTTGGCTTATTTCACTTAACATAAAATCCTTAAGGTTCATCCAAGTTGTCACATATGGCAGGATTTCCTTTCCTTTTATGACTGAATAATATTCCGTTGCACGTATATATCACATTTCCTTTATCCATTCATCTACCAAAGGATATTTAGGTTGTCTATTTAATAATGATTTGATTTCTTTCTTCAATGTTCTGTAGCTTTCAGCATATAAGTTCAGCGCCTGTGTTGTTAGAATTATAGTTACCTATTTCACTTTTTTGAGGGACTATAAATAGTATTGTGTTCTTAATTTTGATTCCCTAGGGTTCATTGCTAGTATGTAGAAAAAACAACACAACAAAAAATTTTGGTATGTTTAGTGACCTTGCTAAATTCATTTATTAGGAGGTTTTGTTTTGTTTTGTCGTTGTTGTAGATTCCTTGGGAATCAGGATTTGCCACCTGTAAAATGGGCATACACACTGTTCTCTGTTGCATAGGCTTGTGAGCATTAAGTGAGGTGAACGTGTTAATGCTTTTAGCATGGACCTGACAGAGAATATTTGCTCAATAAATAATCTCCCTTCCTCTCGTCCTACCTCTGAAGGATCTATCTGTACCAAGGTGAACTGACAGAGCCCATTCCTCTCCTCTTCCATCCCCTTTGCCCTTCTTATTTCCCTAAGCCACCTCCCTCGGCTAGCTCTGCCCTCCAAAACCCGCACCTCCCAGTAGCCACGTCCCTGACCCTCCCTCTGCTTTGCTCCCCCAAACAGTCTCGTGCTCCCTCAGCCCTGGTTCAGCGGGTCTGGAAGCTCATGGTGTAATTTCGTGGGATGGTAGCAAAGCCCACGAGCTTGGGGGACACGTCGATGTCTTGGGGCAGCTGCGGGGACTTGAAGCAGAAGTTCTGCAAGATGGTGGTGAGGAAGAGAAAGAGCTCCATTCTAGCCAGGCCTTCGCCAAAACAGTACCGCTTTCCTGAAGACACAGAACCGGAGGGCTGGAGGTGAGGCCTGCTCCCTTGCCCCTCTACCCACCCCCAAATGCTTTCTCCCAGGGAGGAGGGGCTGGAATAGCGTGGCCTGAGAGACTTCCAGAGGCGTCTCTAATCCTCTCTGAGCATCAGTTTCCCTTGTGCATGGGACAGGGCTGAGCTAGCTGTAGCAATGGGAAATTTCGATGCCCCTTCCGTCCAAGTACACACTCAGATATGGCTGCTGGGCCCTCACGTCCAACCGAGGACACTAAAGAATTTAAATGACTCTGGACAAAGGTCTGACTCACTAAGGGCTTTGATTTTCCCCATCTCTGAAACAGGTGTGGTCATCCTTATCCTTCTGCTTCTGCTCAAGTCGTTATGGGGGTTGCAGCTGAGGGGTTCCAAGGTACATCATGAGAGGGACTTCCAAGCTGGAGAAAGACACCAGGCTACACCTTCGAGAAGAGAGCTGGGATGAAGGAGCCCCTGTTGGTGGGGGCGGTGGCTTGGCAGCAGACAGTGGTCTCTTACCAATGGAGAAGGGCACAAAAGCATCACTCTTCTTAAACTGCCCGTTCTCATCCAGGAAGTGCTGGGTGTGGAAGTCTCAGGGGTTGGAGAAGAACTTGGGGTCTCTCAGCACAGAGCCCAGCATAGGGAACACTTCAGTGCCCTGGTGAGGAGGAGAAGGGGTATTTGATAGGGTGGAGTGGGGGTAGAGTATGCTGAAAAGGCATGGAGCTTGGAGGGACAATTGGGATGCCCTAGGTGATGAGAAATGCGAGGCGTGGGAGGCGTGTGGGTCCTCTTAGGGAGGAGCTTTGGGAGACAGGAGATTCATGTCTCTGAGACAGGAAGCTATGCAGACGTGGGGTTTATGTCTCCCGAGAAGGGAAGTGTGAAGAACACAGGTTCTGTGTCTCTTAGGACAGAAGGTGTGGGGGATGTGCAGTTCATGTCTCCCAAGGCAGGAGGTTGAGAGGACATGGGGGTTCATGCTTCCAGAGACAGGAAGTTTGAAAAACACTGGGTTTACGTCTCCTAGGCGGGATGTTTGGGAGACATGAGACTCGTGTCCTTGAGGGAGGAGGTCTAGAAATGAAGTTCATGTCTTTTGAGAGAGGACGTTTGGGGACAGGAAGTGCATAATCCTTGCAGCACGAGCTCTGGGGAGATACTGGATTCAAGAATCTCTGAGTGGGAAGGTTGAAGGGTCATGGTGGTTGGGGAAGTGTTTGATTGAGGCAGTGGGACAGGGGCTGGGAAGCTTCTAAGGGGAATGGAGTGCTGGGTCACAGGGAGCAGGTTGGAGGTCCCCTTAGGTGGGGCAGGAAAGTACCTGGGGGAGGAGGAACTTTCGAAACTTGGTGTCCTTGGTGACTCTGCGGGCCACGCCCATAGGGATCAAGTCTCCAAAACTTTGGATCTCCTGGACCACTGCCTCTGTGTAGGGCATCTTGGCCTTGTCCTCAAACTTGGGCTGACGGTTCGTGCCAACCACCCGGTCAATCTCCTCATGGACCTTGGCTGTGGGAGGAGGGGGAAAGTATTTAGGTATCTAGCAGTCTCAGGGTGGAGATGATAGTCCAAATATGTACATCCATGTGTGATATGGACGTAGATGATTCAAAACAAACCTTGACCATATGCAATATTGGTGCCGCGTCCTAGTCACCTGGTCTCAACACGGGAGCTGTTTGACTCAGCACGGGAGCTATTGACCCATCTGTTCAGATATTTCAGGATTTTAACAGCCAGTGCAACTCAGCTGGTGCTGATCAGCAGAATATCACCTAGCATCTGGATAACAGGGTATGTCTGAGGTTCCAGACATCTGGGAAATGTGGGGACATTGCAGTGTGCTCAGAGGAAGTGTAAGGGTCTATGGCCACCACTTCACTGCCCCGCCCTCCCAGTCTTACCCTCCACCTCTGGGTGCTTCATGAGCAGCAGGAAGCCGTACCGCAGGGTTGTGCTGACCGTCTCAGTGCCCGCAAAGAAGAGGTTCAGTGTGGTCAGCACCAGGTTCTTCATGTAGAACTCCGTGTTGGGGTTGTTCTGCTCCTGAAGGGAGAGAGGCCTTCAGGCCAGGCCCACTCCCCCTCAGGGCTCTCAGAGCCTTTCTGGGGTCTTTCCATTTGGACCCACCTCTCTTAGGTCCAGACCAGAGGTGGGAAGAGAGACCCCAGTTCTGCCAGGGATTTGTTCAGGCTGCTGGCTCTGCCCAAAATGCCCTTCCCACACTCTTTACCTGGCTGCCTACC